TAAATCTGAGGTGTCTAAAGCAAACAAACGCCTGTGACTGATCCTATAGGGTAATATTTGCATTAAATACTCTTAAGATGTTATTTTATTCTTCAGGAACACCGAAGAACGCCAAAATACGCTAAAGTGCGATTTCGTGTTTTATGTCGCGTAAACCGGCAAAAAATGCAGATCGGCGATGGTCAATGACTTTCACATTTCGCTCACATAGACGAAATGCTAAGTGCAACATGTCACGGGAAGGTGCAAATTAACTACACTAGCTCCCCATTAAAATAGCAACATCGAAGACCCTATAGTTTCGGCGAACTCAATTTGGGCGCGTCAATATCCTGCGGCATGATCAGGCGCCTATCTGAGGATCGTCCTCTAGACGCGCGTAAGCTTGGTCATTGCAGATCAGGGGTGGAACACGAAACAGGCTTCCACCGGGCGCCAATTCAGCCGACTCCAAACTCATGACCAAGCCGATTGTAGTCATATCTCCCTGTGCTCCCGAAAGCAGGCCGACGAAACCAGCTGCGTCTCCGGACAGCAGTTTTTATTCGATCACCACAGGCCTCTCGCCTACCAAAGGCAGGGACGCCCTGGAGGAGACAAACCCCAACTGCAAGCAGCGCCCAAACTACGTGGAGCTATTACCGCTTATCTCCGTATCAGAGGACACAGCTGCAGCCGTGCACTCCTCAACAAAGTCACAGCCTCTGAACTGGACTGAGTCAGATGTGCGGGGACAAGAAGCGAAGCAAATCTCCAGCTCCACTCCATCAAAAGCGGCTTCTCTGTTTGTGGACACAACCATCGCCCAGGGCCCCGACAACCAAAGCCATACACGTGACCACAGCCATCCGGAAAATTCCTCGTACATCCAGTCGGCTACACTGATCGCTGGCGGATCGGGTGTCCACACAAACACGAAAGAGCGACTGCAGCCAAACAAGCCACATAAAACTCGCCAGATTAGAAGACTGCTGGCCGGCCTCAAGGTGCGGTCCTCCGCGAAAACGAACCTCTTGGGAGCGCCACCAAAATCATTACTTCTTAGTGCCACCACCCAGCGCTCAGGACCTCAAAGAGACACTTTTCCGGTCAAACCGCGTCAACACACCCAAGGATCCAGAAAGGTGAAAGCTTGCGGCAAATCTTTGATCAACAGCAGATCTGGTGGACGAAAAGGGGATGCTGAAAGAGCTACAAACTGCATCGGTCGAAATTTTCGCCCATGGGGAAAAAACTCCGTCCCTCAGAGCCAAAAGGCTCAAGCAAACCGAGCTCCCACGGAACGAAAAAAGGCTCGCAGGCGAAAAGCACCCCCAGAAACCACAAAGACAAGAAGCAGACAACATCGCCATAGAGGCCCCTGTGGAGCCTTGGACTCGGACTCAAACCCGGCCGGCAACTATTAAGTCTGCTAACCAACCTGGTCACTCAACTTTCGGCTCCTCACCCTCGGAGGAAGCAGAGGCAGTGTTGAAATGCTTGTACACAAACTGCCTCGGCCTTTTCAACAAACTCGGCGATGTTACACAGTCAGCTTGCCTTAAAAATCCGTCCATAATCGCAATCACAGACACCTGGCTCACACCAGATATCTCTGACGCGGATATCTCGATAGACGGTTACTCTATTTTTCGGGGCAACTAAAAACGAGGGCGGGATGGTGGGGTTTCGCTGTACTTACATGCGGCCCTACCAATCCCGATTCCCGTCCCTGATACTACCCCTGCACCATTTTGCGATGCACTGTGAGTCCAAATCTCGTTGCGCGGGCCCGTTTCTCTCTTTCTCGGTGTGGTCTACTGTAGCACCTCGGGTCCCCCTGAAGATGACCTCATACGAACCCTTAAGCAACTCTCCTCCAGCTACCACTTCACACATCTCCTGCTAGTAGGTGACTTCAATGACCCAAAAGCCCCCTGGATGGGGCTCCAGCGCGTCGAATCAAGCGGACTTTTGCAGTGGCGCCGATTGAGGTCGTTCAATAGAGCGCTTGGGCTCAAAATGTCGTTGCACCCACCAAATACCGCACAGGCCTACTGCCATCCCTCCTGGATTTGCTGATCACTAACGAAAGACACCTCGTTGATCAGGCAGCAATTGATGCTCCACTGGGAAATAGCGACCAATGTGCACTGTTCCTTGATTTCATCTGCAATCGAGCCAGAAATCCCGAGCCTCAAACGAAACGTGGTTACTTCTGCCGTGCAGATTTCTCAGGAATGCTCATCTTCCTCGAACAAGTCACACTGGGACCAGCTCCGGTGGAAAAACTAAACTATACATTGTCCAGAAAGTCCACAAGGCTGACGCGACGTTCGTCCCAAAAAACCCGGCACACACTCGGATGAACCGCAGGCTGCCAAAATGGATTCGGCGACTTCTGGAAAAAAGATCCCAACTCTTTTTTACAAAGTTGACCACAGGATGTACAGAAGATGAGTTGGCATTTCGTAAAATGCGGAATCGCTGTAAGTCGGAAATCCGCCAACGGAACATACGAAAACAAGCCAACCTTCTGGACCTCGCTCGAAGAAAAAAAACGTACTGTTCAAGTACGAGACATCGCCGCAGAGACAAGCCATCAGCGTTCTCCTTGAGGGACAAAAACGGAGGACCGACAAATGACCCAACAGTGGTATCTGAGGCTTACAGAGAAAACTATGCATGTCTATACTCAACCCCAGCGTCCTCCTCACATCCACTCTTGTCAAGGAGAAACTACGAACAGCCTCTAACCGACTTGGTCTTCACAGTGGAGGACATTCGTCAACTCTTGCA